CCAAGTCCTGAACAACTCCCCATCCTCCTCTTCCCCGAGCCCCTGGCAGTACCCTTCTACTCTCTGTCTCTATTAATTTGACTGCTCTAGGTACCTCATGTAAGTGTAATTATATAGTATTAGTCTTTTTAAGCCTAGTTTATTTTATTTATGTCCTCCAAATTCATCTATATTGTAGCACATGTTATTTTTTTTTTCTTTTTAAGGCTGAACAGTATTCCATTGTATGGATGTACCACATTCTGTTATCCATTAATCCATTGATGGACATTTGGGCTGCTTCCACCTCTTAACTTTTGTGAATAATCCTGAGCTAAGACAGGTACCATTTGATCAAAGAGCCACAAGAAGTAGGGAGACAGTCATGTCGAATAGTTGGAGAAAGTATACAAAAAAGTACATAAAATAAAATCTGAATTTTCTAAAAATAGTTTGTGTATTTAGATAGAAAATAAGTTGATCAAATAAAGAGAGGAAAGGCCAGAAATATATACACCAAAGTATTAAAAGTGGTTATCACTCAGAACTAGATATCAAAGGAACGGCAAATGCTGAGCCCAGAAGCAAAAGTGTGCTTGGAATGTTCTGGACATTGCAGGTGTTGTCAGAGCATAACGAGGTAGAAGGAAAATGGTGAAAGGGGAGGGAGGCAGTTCATGTAGGTCTTATGAGCCATGACAGGAATTTCCAATTGACTTGGGGTGAGATGGGGATCCCCTGGAGGATTCTGAGCAGAGGGTAGCGACTGGGCTTGACAGTAGACAAGTCACTTGGGCTGCAGTGTGAAGCAGTGGAGCCTGTTCGCAGGTTCCAGCAACAATTAGGGTGAGGAATGACAGTGGCTTAGGGCAGAGTGGGTGTGGCAGAGGAGGTGAGAGAGATCAGATTCTAGATGCATTTCAGGGTAAGTTGGATGCAGGAGTAGAAGAGAGAAGTCAAAGATGACTCTGAAGTGCAAGGTATAACAAAAATTGAGGAGGAGTCAGTGTGCAGTGGAAGGAAAAAGGAGAGAGCTGTCATAAAAACATAATTCCACTTATATGAGGTACCTAGAGCAGTCAAATTAATAGAGACACTGCACTGCCTCTCCACTCTGATGCCAGGGTAGTGCATAGCTTAGTCAGACCATGCTGGCCCAGAGCCGACACCTAGGTCTGCTTCAAGCCCCTCTCCCTGGCTCACAGGAATTGCAACGCGGGGTTGGTAGTTATTCTGCAGAGGCTCTCAGACCCTCCTTCCACAGCCAGCCAAGTTTATACATCCTTTCTGGACATTCTCCAAGTCCTACAGTATTCATCCTCCTGTTGCTTGGCTACAAAATGGATTTATTTTCTGACATGATCACATCTCTGTGTTCATGTGCCTGGAAAAAGATAGAGCTTGCTTGGTTTATAAATGACAAAAAATAAGATTGGAAGCCAGCTTGGCCCCCAGGCCTCTGGTTGCTCAGCCCAAGCACAGACTTTTCTTCTTTAGGAGTCCCTCATATCAGGCTGCCCTAGACAGAGCAGCAATTTCCACCACTTTTGTATCCACAGCTATATGAATGGGAGGGAAAAGGAGCTGTCTCTGGACAGGAGATAGAAGCAGTGTCCACCCAGCCTACTCTTACGTGCAGTAGGAGCTTGAGATTGAGGAGAGAGGTAAACGATATTTCTCCTGTGTTCCAAGAGTGAAAACCCCTGATTCGGAGAATCTGCAAAGCCCTTGTGTGGGAAGGAGTACTTCAGCAGAATTGCTCTGCTTTTTGAATTCTGACATTCTGGTGGCATCTCATAAGGGAAAATCCCTTTAAGGAGATATTTGGATTAAAAGCACTTTGACAAGCCCTGACTAAGTCCCGGCCACTCATTTCTAGCAGCTGTGAATTTTTTTTTTTTTTAAACAAGACAAGAGTTTGCCTTTCTGTGTTAGGGAGAAAAATTGATTACCTTTTAACCTCTCCGATATAGTTTCTTATCATATTTATGAAAAACGGTGAGAAAGGCCAGGTGTGATGGCTCATGCTTGGAATCACAACACTTTGGGAGGCTGAGGTGAGCGGATTGCTTGAGCTCAGGAGTTTGAGACCGGCCTGCCCAAAATGGCAAAACCCCATGTTTCTATTTTAAACTTCATTTTTTACTACCAAAAATATAAACAGGCCGGGCGCGGTGGCTCAAGCCTGTAATCCCAGCACTTTGGGAGGCCGAGGCGGGTGGATCACGAGGTCGAGAGATCGAGACCATGCTGGTCAACATGGTGAAACCCTGTCTCTACTAAAAATACAAAAAAATCAGCTGGGCATGGTGGTGCGTGCCTGTAATCCCAGCTACTCAGGAGGCTGAGGCAGGAGAATTGCCTGAACCCAGGAGGCGGAGGTTGCGGTGAGCCGAGATCGCGCCATTGCACTCCAGCCTGGGTAACAAGAGCAAAACTCTGTCTCAAAAAAAAAAAAAAAAAAAAAAATATATATATAAACAATTAGCTAGGTGTGGTGGTGCGCACCTGTAGTCCCAGCCACTGGGGAGGCTGAGGTGAGAGGATTGCTTGAGCCTGGGAGGCAGAGGTTGCAGTGAGTCAGGATCACGCCACTGCACTCCACACCCTGTTTCAAAAAAAGAAAGAAAACCAGTGGTAATTGCTGACCTATAGTGAAGCCTATTTTATTGCCTAATGGTTCCCAAATGGGCAATTTTGCCTCCCAGGGGACATTTGGCAATATGGGCAGTCATTTTTGGGTTGTTACAAGTATCCATTCGTGGGAGACTGGGGTGTGCTACTGGCATCTAGTGGGCAGAGACTGGGGATGCTGGTAAACATCCTGCAACACACAGGAGCACTCCCACAGTAGAGAATTACACAGCCCAAATGTGAATAAAGTCAAGCTTGTAGAACTCTGGCTAGAATGCCTTTCTGTAGTGGACAGGAGTTTCTTAAATCTAAGAACAGTAATTTCTAAGGCTGCCCCTTCACATGGAATTAGACAAGGGGCTGTGTATTCGTGTTTTTCTTTTCTTCTTCTTTTTTTTTTTCTCAGTTAATAAACTGACTAAAAATCTAGCACTTACTATAGCTTTTGCTCCAAAATATATTTATTCTAGAACAAGTGCACTCATTAAAAAGTTTTAATGAAAATTACAGTGCCCATTTGATTGATGCGTTATAAGTTTTAGAGATATTTCTACATGATAGTCCAATTAAAAAAAATTGTACCTTACCTTAAAATTTTTTATAATGACTTATATATGTTGTAGAAAAGTTGAAAAATGTTTCTAAAGAGAATTTTTTGGCCAGGCACAGTGACTCGTGCCTATAATCCCAGCACTTTGGGAGGCCCAGGTGGGAGGTTCACTTGAGCCCAGGAGTTTGAGACAAGCCTGGCCAACTTGGTGAAACCTCATCTCTATTAAAAATATCAAAAAAATTAGCCAGGCATGGTGGCAAGCACCTGTAGTCCCAGCTACTTGGGAGGCTGAGGCATGAGAATTGCTTGAACCTGAGAGGCAGAGGTTGCAGTGCGTTGAGATAGCACCACTGCACTACAGCCTGGGGCAAGACTCTGTCTCCAAAAAAAAGAGAGATTTTTTTTTTTTTAAATGGTGATTCCACCATTTAATTCCACTTAGAAGGAAACATTTCAGAATATTACTATGTATTTCTCGGTTAATTTTTTTAATAGTTGAGATCATTCTATTTATACAAATTCATCTCTGCAAAATGAGTCTTTGTAAATATTCAGTTTCTTGCAGGGCTCAGTAGATGGTGCCTGTAATCCTAGCATTTTGGGAGGTGAAGGTAGGCGGATCACTCGAGTCCGGGAGCTTAAGACCAGCTTGGGCAACATAGTGAGACCCTGTCTCTACAAAAAATTTTATAAGTTAGCTGAGTGTGGTGATGCACATGTGTGGTCCCAGCCACTCAGGAGGCTGAAGTGGAAGGATCACCTGAGTCCGGAAGGTTGAGGCTGCAGTGAGTCATGATCATACCACTGCATTCCAGCCTGGGAGACAGAGGGAGACCTTGTCTCAAAAATAAAATAATAAAAAAAACAGGTGCTTAGTACTCCATCATGTAATACTGAACTCTATATTACCTAAAAACCTATGTTGAACACAGATCATTAATTGTACTTGTTCACTATTATAAATAATCTATAATGAACATTCATGTATTTCATGTTGCTTTTTTAATAGCACAGCAATCTGTATTGTTCTGGAGACTTGGGGACATGATTATTTAATGCCTAGTTCATGACAGACACAGAATAGAAAGTCTCCTGCCAGTGCAGCAGAGGAAACATCATTTGGAATAGCCAATTGAAGGGAGAGTTGTGGAACACCTGGGGATGGGGATTTAAACTTGGGTAAACCAACCAAAACATGTATCTGTATATATACAGATGTATGTATGGACATACCAAAAAGAAAAAAAAATTGGAGGGCTAAACACCAAACTTTTAACCATGGTGACTCTGGGATAGAAAAATGGGATTAGGGGAGGAACAAGAAGAGAAGAGGAACTTTGGGTTTTTTTTTTTCCCCCATTATCTTGCTTATTCTTTGAATTCTTAACTATGAGAACTATTCATAAGTAACTTGTATAATACTTAAACACAATACACTTGAGAGAACAATTTGGATCCTCATGGATGGGAGGCCTGATTTATGTCAGCAGTTACTTATCTTTCACTTTTTTAGCCAGCCCTAGTATTACTGGGCACATTGTGGATAATGGACTGATGAACATGCCTGGAGATGGTATGTTTTGGTAGAGAAGTTCTAACATGCATTTAGATGACAGGCCTTAATAATTTATTCTCTTCATAGTGTATTAGACATGACTCTTCTGCATCCATGGTCTGTGATATAGAAGATGGGAGCGGTGGAAACACACAGTCTAGGGCCAGGATCCTGAAGGTTTCATTGCTTTCAGTGCTGGTTTAGAGAAAGTTTCTCTGTGAAGCATGCACAGCCAGTCCCTGGGCCAGTAGATGGTGAAATTGTTCTTGTTTCCTTCAGGCCGTACACCTGGTCCCTGGCTCCAAGCTGAAGCAGTTGGGCAGAGCTCTGATGACATCAGAGGCAGAAATTCTCAGGTAACACATCCTTCATGTCTCTGAATGTAAAACCAGGAATTCTCTTCAGAGGCAAAGAAATGGTAAGGGTAAGCTTTCTCCCTAACAGCTTTATAGTCTTCCTCGGACTCCTTTTCCTCAGGGAAAGCCATTTGGTGTGCCTTTGTTTCAAGCCAGAATGAAATGGTCGTAATTTCAAAATCTTAAGTGTGAAAAAAGGGGGCTTCCCTGGAATCACCACGGCCTATAGAAGCAAGTTTAGCAACTCTGACATTCTGCAACAATCATTCTGCCAATCACTTCCCATTCTTCCTTGGTTATGACAGTCTGTGAGAAAACCTGAATAACATTTATAAAACATAATTCAGACCAGGTGCAGTGACTTACGCCTGTAATCTCAGCACTTTGGGAGGCCGAGGTGGGCAGATCATGAGGTCAAGAGATCAAGACCATCCTGGCCAACATGTGAAGCCCTGTCTCTACTAAAAATACAAAAATTAGCTGTGCTATGTCCTGAATGTTTGTGTCCCTCAAAATTTATATGCCAAAACCTAATCCCTAATGTGACAGTATTAAAAGGTTGGGTCTTTGGGAAGGTGATAAATCATGAGGGCAGAGCCCTCATGAATGAGATTAGTGCCCTTATAAAACAGGCTCAAGGGAGCTTGTTCACCTCTTTCACCACGTGAAGATGCAGTTTGAAGGCACCATGGTTGAGCAGACAGTGAGCCCTCACAAGACACCATATCTGCTGGTGCCTTGATCTTGAGCTTCCCAGCCTCTACAAAGAAATAAATTTCTGCTGTCTTCATAAATTGCTCAGTGTCAGGTACTTTGTTATAGCAACCTCAAAAGACTAAGACACCATGGTAACTACAAAGAAAATAGCTATAGAATATATATATATATATATATATATATATATATATATATATATATATAAAATGAAAGTAAGGATATGAGGTACAAAAAAGCTGTATAGAAAACAAGTAGCAAAATGACAGAGTAAATCCCTCCTTGTCATTAATTACTTCAAATGTAAATGGACTAAACTTTCCAATCAAAAGACAGAGATTGGCAGAATGGATTTTTAAAAATCTGATCCAACAGTGTGCTGTTTACAAGAGACTCAGTTTATCTCTAAAGACAAATAGCTTGAAAGTAAAAGCATGGAAAGAGTTGTATAAAACTGTAAAACATTGCTGAAATAAAGTAAATAATAAATAAATAAATGCAAACACATCCCATGTTCATGGGTTAGAAGACTTAATATTGTTAAGATGTCACTACTGCCCAAAGCAATCTACAGATTCAGTGTAATCTCTACCAAAAGCTCAATTACAGTTTCTGTAAAAATAGAAAAACCCATCCTAAAATTCATAAGGAATCTCAAGGAACTCCTAGAGATAGCCACAATAATCTTGGAAAAGAAGAATAAATCCAGGGGACTCACACTTCTTATTTCGAAACTATGGTAATCAAAACAGTGTGGTACTGGTATAAAGACAGACATATAGACCAATGGGATAGAATAAAAAGCAATAAATAAAGAGAACAAAAATATATAAACCCTTGCATATATGGTCAAATGATTTTAACAAGGGTGCCAACCATTCAATAGGGAAGGGATAGTATTTTCAACAAATGATGCTAGGAGCACCAGACATCCCCACATAAAAGAATGAAGTTGGACCCCTACTAATACTGTATACAAAAATTACCTCAAAATGAGTTGAAGACCCAAATTTAGAACCTGAAACTGCAAAACTCTTAGGAGAAAACACAGGGCAAAAGCTTCATGAATTTGGATTTGACACTGATTTCTTGGATATGACACAAAAGGCACAGGCAACAGAAAAAAAACTGGACTTCATGAAAATCTTTAAAATTTGCATATCAAAAGACAATGTAAAAAAAGAAAAGGCAATCCACAGAATGGGAGGAGATACTTGCAAATTGTATATCTGATAGGAGATTAATATCCACAATATATAGAGAACTTGTAAAACTCAACAAGAAGAAAACAAATAACCTAATTTTAAAATGAGCAAAGGACTTGAATAGACATTTCTCCAATGAAGATATACAAATGGCCAAGGAGCATAGAAAAAGTTGCTCATATCACTGATCATTAGAGAAATACAAATCAAAATTAAAATGAGATACCACCTCATACACATCATGATGGCTGCTATCAAAACAAAACATAATAGCAAGTGTTGGCAAAGATACGGAGAAAATGGACCCTCATGCACTGTTGGTGAGGATGTGAAATGGTACGACTGCTGCGGATAACAGTATGGCAATTCCGGAAAAAAAATCAAAGAGGATTAACAATGGGAAATGGTACAACTGCTGTGGAAAACAGTATGGCAGTTCCGCAAACAATCAGAAAAAGAATTACCATACGATCTGGCACTCCACTTCTGGGTATGTATACAAAATAATCTAAAGCAGAGCCTGGAAGAGATATTTGTACGCCCATGTTCATAGCAGCATTATGTACCACAGCTAAAATGTAGAAGCAACTGGATCCTTTTGTAGTTCAAGAGCATGATGATTGGGTAATCATGTGCGTGTGTGAGATGTGCCACCCTCTGAACCTCGTTACAGCCTCAGCACATTACTCGTCTGACCTGAACTTGGAAAAAAAATAAAATAAAATGTAGAAGCAATTCAAGTATCATAGATGGATGAATGGATAAAATGTGATATATACATGTACAGTGGAGTGTTATCCAGATTAAAAAGTAGGAAGTACTCAAATGTGCTTCAACATGGATGAACTTTGAGAATATTATTCTAAGTGAAATAAGCCACTCACAAAAAGACAAATACTATATGCCTCCACTTACATAAGTACTTACAGGAGTAGAGACAGAAAGTAGACTGGGGCTTGCCAGAGATGAGAGGGAAAAAGAGAATTGAGAAGTATTGTTTAGTGGGTACAGAGTTTCAGTTTTACAAGATGAAAAGAGTTAAACAAAAATGGGTGCTGATGATTATGAATGTATTTAGTACCCCTAAACTGTACACTTAAAAATGGTTACTAGTGTAAATTTTATGCTGTTTATATTTTACCACAATAAAAATGGAGAAAAAGTGTTAATAGGTATTCATTCTAGAAGACTATGGCTGATTTTTACTTTCTTCTTTTTGCATTTATACAATTTCCAAGTTTTGTACAATGAATATATTATTTCTGTGATCAGGAAAATACAGTTATAATCATAATCATGTTCCTTCATTTTCATATGGCTCTTTACATTTTTCAGTTAAGTCGCATGTTATCTCATTTGATCCTTTTAATAACCCTGTTATGCTGGAGAGATACCTTTGATGCCACTTTATAGAAGAGAAAACTGCTCTCAAAATTTGAAGAACTTGCACAATGTCACAATGCCCAGACCTTCTGACCACTTGTCCAGTGCTTCTTCCGTAATGCCTCACTGCTTTTCCTGGCATGTTAGAATCTCCAGGGACAAGAATCCTCCTCACTTCCCATGGGGCAAGGCTGTGTCAGACAGTGTGCAGGATCTGGTCCCCAGCCTCATGGCAGGCATGCACCCACATCACCTGAGTCTGGTGGTTTTGATCTCTGCCTGCAACAGTTTCATCAAGTTGGATTGTAAAGTCTCCTTTGGGCATTCCACAGTTAAGAAGATCTTCTTTATGTCTCACTGGATACCATCTTAATTCATTTTCACTGCAGTGAGACACAAAACAATCATCCAGCCGGGCACGGTGGCTCATACCTGTAATCCCAGCACTTTGGGAGGCTGAGGCGGGTGGATCAGGAAGTCAGGAGATCGAGACCATCCTGGCTAACACGATGAAACCTCATCTCTACTAAAAACACAAAAAATTAGCCAGGTGTGGTGGCATTCACCTGTAGTCCCAGCTATTCAGGAGGCTGAGGCAGGAGAATTGCTTGAACCCGGGAGGTGGAGGTTGCAGTGAGCTGAGATTGCGCCACTGCACTCCAGCCTGGGCAACAGAGCAAGACTCTGTCTCAAAAAAAAAACAAAAAAATCATCCAGGGAAATCACTGGGTTCTGGACATTGTAAACAATGCCCCAGGGAGTGCTCTCTTTTATGGATACCATGGTCATGTGGGAGTGCATGGTTGGGAGCCCCGGGATGGAAGTCTGAATGTCTGGATCTGTTTCTTGCTTTTCCATTGTCTTCCAGCAATTTTTTTTGCTTTCTCTGAGCTTCCTGTCAAGTGAATTGCTGATGATTGGTTCTATAAAGGTTTACAAGACAGCATTAGGTCCCCACATACCATCAACTACGTATCCCATTTCATCCTGTTTCCACCCACAGCCCATTGGGTAAAAATCAGCTCTTTGCATAAGCATCTCCCCAACCTTGATAGCCTTGTATGAATGAGAAGCTGTGGTACCCAGCCTGTATGACTGAGGGAGTGAGGAAAGAGGGCTTTCGTGCGCAAGTCTTCTAACTCCACCTGGTAATGTTCTGTCATGTTTCCACAGTTATCTCTAAAGACTCTCCGGTGAGAAGACAGATGAAGCCAAGGTCCTGGGGTCCCAGGTTGCGAACAACATGTCAGACTCTGCCCACCCCATGCTCAAGCTGTAATTCAGTTGGCATACAGGCTTGTAATTGAGAATTTATTTATTGTAAATATGTGGTTTGCACGGGCTTTAAAGCAGTATTTTAATTGACTTTTATTTGAGTAATATTTTTTAAAACACCCCTCATTTTTCCATTTTTTTTACACTGCATCTTGGCATTCGTCTGTCAGCACAGATAGAGCCCTGTCCCTCCACGTAGTGCCCACTCTATGACTGTGAATATGCTTGCGGGCTGGCCCTTCCTACATTCTGAACCCTCTATAGACAATCCTCAGTTTGCAGGTAGCCCCAAAGTTTTAAATATCCACAACAGCTTCTTCTTGGCATGATTTTATATTCTCATCACACCAACTGCAAAATCAAACCAAACAATGCCTTATCAGTGATGCAACTCAGAGGAAGGAGTGTGTCCCCCACACCCAGACCGTGCCACACAGCCTCCAGGGAACGAGATGCCACGTCTCGCTTCCGTTTTGCAGTACAGGGATTTGTTTTTTCGTTTGCTGCCTAATGTAAATATATCACCAAGTAAAGGCAAGAGTGGGCTTGGCCCCTCCAATGCCGACCACAGGGCCCCTTTTGTAACTGAATAATCCTCCAAGTAGCCAATGTTCCTACTGTTTACAGTGGCCCTAGGGCCTGAGTCTCTGTCACCTTCCTCCTTTTCTCTCCAAGTTCCCAGTCCCATCCCAGTAGCCAGCTTTATGAGATTTTGGTATTTCTTCCCTACAGATTAAAAACATACACAACTCATCATTACGCTAAACTACCAATTCTGTCTCAGAGGTCTGTCCTCTGCCCTTGCTTCACATGTGGATTTCCATGGAAAATATAACATGAAAAAGTATAGAACGAAACATCTTGTGAAACACCTGCCGCAAATACGTGGTGCCTCACTGCCCACCCCCCCACCACCGCCACCTCCCAATCTTAGGATCCTTGGAGCCACCCATCAGGCAAAACGTAACTCCCTTCTAAGCTAAAGGAGAACCTTGCCTGACAACTCCACATTCGTTCCCTGTGGTGAGCACCTATCTGTGGGGGGAACGTGTGCAAGCTCAGCCACTCTGAATATGAAAAAGGTCAGGCCAGGATGGAACTGTTGTTCACTCCCTCTTCTTGATCCTGCGGGGAGCGGAAATGTGTTTTCGCTTGCTGCCTGACCCCTGACGCTCCCCGTCGTTGGTCGGAGAAGGCTGTGACAGAGGAAGGAGAGAAAATAGAAGGAAACAGACTGATCCCTGGGCTGTGCTCAAAATAGCTGCCCTTTAAAAGTAATCAGGCAGGGAGAGGAGGGAAACCAGCAAAAAAGAAATTTGCTTTGCAACAACCCACGCACACGTTCTGCCCTGAAGGATACTGTGTCTAAACCAAGCCATCCAGAAAGATAGCCAGGCAGGAGGGTGTGGGCAAACATGACTGCATCTGCCTCACTGTTGTCGGGAGTAAAGACCCAGGTGGTATCCTGCAGCAGTGCTGTGCTCTCTTGTTCCAGATGGAAGCAAGTGAGCCAGGGTCTAATTACCTCTGGGAATGAATCAAGCCAAACCTATAACAGCTAAATCAATCAATAGAAAAGAAGTTTTTGCAGGTCATCAGCTCTGGGCATAACTGATTTGTTTTATTGGTTCTGGAAGATTTCCAAAAAGCCAGAATATCTTTATTATTATAACAGTGTCCACTCCACCACCCTCACAGTTGTGTAAGATAATTAGAAAAGTTATAATGATCCTGATTAAGAAGACCCTAGACAAAGCAATTCCACCTTCAGAGCAGACTGCCTGCCCTGATGAGGTGTTTACACATTCATGTCCCCTATGGCTGGGATGGAAATTAAAATAACACTATTTAAGGACAGAGGAGGCCCAGAGCAGTGGCTCATGCGTGTAATCCCAGCACTTTGGGAGGTCAAGGGGGGTGGATCACTTGAGGTCAGGAGCCCAAGACCAGCCTGGCCAACATGGTGAAACTCTCTACTCAAATACAAAAAATTAGTCAGGCATGGTGGCGCACACCTGTAATCCAGCAACTCGGAGGCTGAGGCACAAGAATGGCTTGAACCTGGGAGGCAGAGGTTGCGGTGAGCTGAGATCACGCCACTGCGCTGAACCTGGGCAACAGAACAAGATCCTGTCTCAAAAAACAAATAAATAAATAAAAATAAAGGACAGAGGGGAGAAACAAGCAGAAACCAAAAATGGCAACTAGGGAGAAATCTCAGGAATGTGGCATCCCGTCTCTCCTTGAGACCCATCACTGAATTCACAACACTTCAAGCTCATGCTGGTGCAGTTCCTTTGGTGGTGTAAAGGTTTAACCCCTTGACTGTAAACTCGTACTTAAGAGACATGTGAGTCACAGAGTCCCCACCATTGTCACATATTCTCACTGACACTGCAGTCTGTGACTCCCCCAGTGTTTTACACGTATTTTATTTTTATTGATGTCCTCCTCTGCCAATTCATTTCTCTGTACTTAATAAACTTTGGTAAGTGGAAATGCTTCCCGTCGTTTCGTTAATACACATCAGTGGTCACCAGGACCAATCTAAGCCAAACATTTTTAAGCAGGCGTCCCCAAACTTTTTACACAGGGGGCCAGTTCACTGTCCCTCAGACCGTTGGAGGGCCGCCACATACTTTGCTCCTCTCACTGACCACCAATTAAAGAGGTGCCCCTTCCTGAAGTGTGGCGGGGTGGGGGGGGGGTGCGGATAAATGGCCTCAGGGGGCTGCATTCGGCCCGCGGGCCGTCGTTTGAGGGCGCCTGGTTTTGCCTCTTACAAGTTGCCTCTTAGAATCCGTGCCTCAGCTTCCTCATCTGTCAAAGGGGGGCATAAATATGTACCTGAGTATATACTGGTGAAGATTCAATGATGTAATACACACGGGCAAGCCCTTAACCCTTGGATCACAACGGAGCCAGTAAACTGCACACCCACCTCCCGGGGAGCAGCCAGTTTGCTGATTCCATGCTCTGTCAGAAACAGGGCTCTGCTGGCTGCCTCCCAGCCACTCCATTCAATGTTTGCTGAGCTGCTCAGACCACACTTCACTAACTCTGCTGCTGGATAACAATGTGAGAGCAGTCATTAAAATTTATAGATGTTCCTGAAATAAATCTCATCTAGAAACTGATTCCGAAGCTGGTTACCACACACTTTGCATTAGAATTAGACAAGGGGCCGTTTTATCGCTGTCTTACTAGTGGAGGTATCGATTACTCTTTCATGGCCAAAAGGGCCAGTCTGGGTGCAGAAGAAAAGGCAAGAGCCGAAGATAATCTACAAAGTGGATGATGAACTTCCAAGTCACATAGAGTGTGGCAGTGGTGAAGTAGCTAGAAGTGTAGGCACCTTTTGTGGAGTTAAGTGTGGGAGATGTGGTTCCCAGAGAGGGAGCAACTTAATGGGAAGGGCTGTGGACTCCAGAAGCAAGTTCCAAATTCTCAGACAGTGCCCCGGGGAGGCTTTGGCATCCTTCATCCACCCATTCTGCTATGGGTTGAATTGTGTCCCCACAAAATCCATATGTTGAAGTCCTAACCCCTAGTATCTCAGAATGTGACCTTATTTAGAAATAGGGCCATTGCGGCCAGGCGAGGTGGCTTATGTGTGTAATCCCAGCAGTTTGGGAGGCCGAGGCAGGCAGATTACGAGGTCAAGAGATCAAGACCATCTGGCCAACATAGTGAAACCTCATCTCTACTAAAAATACAAAAATTAGCTGGGCATGGTGGCAGGTGCCTGTAGTCCCAGTTACTTGGGAGGCTGAGACAGGAGAATCATTTGAACCCAAGAGGTGGAAGTTGCAGTGAGCCGAGATCGCGCCACTGCACTCCAGCCTGATGACAGAGTGAGACTTTGTCTAAAAAAATAAAAAGAAGAAATAGCACCGTTGCAGATATCATTTGTTAAGATTAAGATGAGGTCATACTGGATCAGCGTGGGCCCCTTGCAATATGACTGTGTCCTTATAAAATAAGGACACTAGACACAGACATAGAGATGGGGAGAACGCCGCGTGAAGATGAAGGCAGAGATCATCGGGATGCTGCCTCTTTGGGCCACAAAGTGCTGAAGATTGCTGGCAAGCCACTAGAAGGTGGGCGAGAAACATGCAACACTTTCTCTCTCACAGCCCTCGGGAGGAACCAGCACTGCGGATGTCTTATTCCTGGAATGTCTGGGCTCCAGAACTGTGAGCTAGGAAATTTCTCCTGGTTATGCTGTCCAGTTTGTGGTACTTTGTGATAGCAGCCCTGGCAAAAGAATACACGCTCTGTCACCCAGAGCTTTGCAGGAGGGTATAATGTTTAAGAAAAGAGAGCTGGGAATAAAATTTCAGAATTAGCAGTTCCTTGTCATGTCAACAGAGCAGTTATCTACTCTGACCTTGAACATAGGTGACTCATTGCAGGTGTCTAAGTCCTACCTTTACGAGAAAGACATTCGGTTGCGTTTTGCCTGTCATAGTGGAGACAGAGTCACAGAAAGCAAGCTGGCATTTCCGGGTCACAGGAGTGGTGGAACCTGGCTTTTTCTCTAAGTGGCATCCTCTTCTGTTGTGGCGTTGCTAACGCCTTGGAATCAAGCTGCCTGGAATAGAGAGTACCAGCCACTCTGATGAGCTAAACTTCCATTCTAGTAACATTTCTATTTCTTTTATTAACTGTGGTATCATATATGTAAAGTCTATCACCCTAACCATTTTTAGCATTTAATTCATTAGTGTTCAGCACATTCACACTGTTTACAACCATCACCACCGTCCCGCTCCATATCTCATCTTGCAAAACTTTCTGAAACTCTATACTCATGAAACAATAACTCCCAATTTCTCCCCTGCCTCCAGCATCTACCAACTACCCTTCTGATTTCTGTCCCTATGATTTTGCTTTAGGTACCTCATAGAAATGAAACCATATGACATTTCTGACTGGTTTATTTCACAGAGCGTAACATCCTTAAGGTTCATCCATGTTGTAGCATGTGTCAGAATCTGCTTCCATTTTTTAAGAATTAATAATATTCCATGGTATGAATATAACACACTTTGTTTCTTCATTCTTTCACCTGTGGATACTTGAGTTGCTTCTGTGAATAGTGCTGCTATGAACACGGGTGTGTAGTGTCTCTTCCAGACCCTACTTTCAACTCTTTTGCGTATACCCAGAAGTGGGATTGCCCGATTATAGAGTAGTTCTGTTTTTAATTTTTTGAGCAGCTCCATACTGTGTCCCACAATGGATGCACTATTTTACATTCCCACCAACAGGGCATAAGGGTTCCACTTTCTCCATATCCTCACCCACGTTCGTTATTTTCTGGTTGTGGTTTTATTTATTTTTATTTTTATTTTTTTATAGTAGCTATCCTAATGGGTGTGAAGTGGTACTTCGTTGTGGTTTTGTATTTGAAGACTGAATTTAACCATAAAACATGACGTGACGCAGGAAACTACTGAACTGACCGTCTTCTAAAGATTCCAGCCAGAAAAATAAATCTCTTCTCATACATTTTCTATGTTGTGACTGAGGTCCCCATTTATTCATGAGACGCAAAACGTAAGAGGCCACTCTACTGGATGTTAATTTCAGTACTTTTTTTTTTATTGTATGCTTGATGCATTTAGAGACAATTCCAAGGGCAAGCACTGGATAGGGATATCATCTGCTTTGTAGATATTTGTACAAAAGACTGTTAAGACTACATGGTCAGTTCCCACTGCAGGAAACAGAATGATTTTCTCTCTCTTTTTTTTTTTTTTTAAATTATTCCCTGCCAATAGCATTTTCCATCTAACACATTTAAATTCTCATAACATGATTACAAACATGTACATACTGGTTCCCACGAGAAATTGCAGGTGACATTTCGGGATGTTTGGAGTCAATTAGATGAAGCACATTATGACAGAAACCGTAAGAGGAGCTGGGACCTGGGACTGTGCAGAATGAAAAGCCACGGCTACGGGAAGAATAAGCTTGTGCTGCGACAGCACGTGCACATGACCTGCCGCTCCTGGCCCTCCGCGAGCATGGCCAGCGAGGGGGCCCCTCCCTCCCTCCTCCACGTCCGTCCTTCCTAAGGCTGAGAGCTCAGTTGAAGGCCTTCCTCAATAAACAACAGATGGCTCTTCAGTCAGGAATGCAGTTAGTGGTTTCATGACAGACAGACGGGTCCCACCCGGCTTCCCTGCTCAACCAGCCAGAGCTGTGTAACACCTGTACCAATGTGGGATGACCCCAGATAGGAAACAAAGTAATTTGCCTGCTTGGTAATTATTTTGTACACCGAATGATTCACCCAATAGTAAAGGAATCCCACAGCTAAGATCTAATGAGCATATACCTGCTCTGTTAGTTTATACAAAAGACTCGTTCTAATAACACTGAGTCTTATGTTACTGGGCACTAAGGAATCACCATAATTTTGATTATATCTTTATTCTACCTAAAGTTTCAAAGCACTTCCAAGAATGAAAGCGTACTGTTTCTGCTTTGCTAATAATGTACTCCTGCCAGAGCTTCCGCCCTTGAATATGAGGGCTAGCTTCACCTATGGTAAATCCCATCTATTAGACAAGACTAACTAGCTTATGTTTGGTTATGGGGCAAGGGGGTGGGGGAGAGAGTCTATCCTTTCTGGCCACAGCTTCTTGCTACACAGGCATGCACAGCCCCTACCCCAGTCCTAAAAGATACACAAAGGGTCTCCTAGGAAGCTACTTATACACTGTGACCTTTAAACATGATTTTTGTATATCATCTTGAATATTCATTTTCCCCATACTGCCTTCAGAAAAGCAATCCCTGGTCAACAAATTATTCATGTAATAAGCATTTTTCCAAAACAAAATCTGTTAGGAACATCTAAAAATGAAGAGTCCCCACTGTAACAATCTGCTCAAAACCCCACAACCTATTTCCAGCTGTTAATATAAGTACATAAAGTCACTAAAAGTAAGTGCAGCCACATCAGCAGATTCTCTGCTCTCTTCCTGTCTTCCTCTTCCCATCCCAATGCACAACTGTCCACTGCGGTTATAGACCACCTCCAAGCCCGACAGGAGCCACCATGCCCCTTTTAACTTTTGCCAGGCTGTGCCATGCCCTCTAGTGGAAGGACTGGGACATCACAATTGTGGTGGACCAAATTAGCCAAGACAACTGTCAATTAGGGTTGCCCTTCTCTAAGATGCTCAGCCAAGGTGAATGTCCCCTAACAGAAGTAGCCATTGTGTTTCCCACTGGGTAATGACATAAAGCGGGCAGGGTTATCCATGACCTTTGGCTCATAGAAATGAAAGGAGACTTCTGTGTCATTAATTCTTACTAGACTTCTTTTGATCAAATCCTGAATCACCTTGGTTATCTCAGGCATGTCAGGTCTGATGAGACATTTGCATAGTAGGCGCAGGTGAAATCACGCAGCGAAATTTTAGAGCAGCTTTCTGCATCATCTTGCTTTACATAGCCACTTGGAACATGGACTTGGGAGGAGAGAGGTACCTACATCATCCTCGAACCTCACATTCTCCTCCCACCCTAACCGTGATAGAAAGACACTTTTAGAATAGCCGCCCCACCTAACAGGATACTCTAAATTCACTGGCAGTGAAAGACCAGACCAAACTTGCACTAAAGCTTTTAGTAACTACATGCCACCATCATTGGTTGCTATTAACTCTGTCAGCTGAAATCGTCTTCTCATCTCCCACAATGTGTGGTTAATGATTTTATATACAGAGTTTACAAAACTGCTGAGCAAAAAAGCTCATGGCACTCCTATACTCATGCTCTTGGACAGCTGGTAGAAAACAGATGTGTTCTGATAAAATCTCTGATCCTCAGTGTTCACATTCATGTAACAGGGGCTGGGTCCCCTCTGAATCTCATGAGACAGCTTCTGGGAAGGAGTTATTAACCCTGTCACTTCCAAGACTGCTGATACTCACAATATTTCCACTTGCAGATTCCTGGCAAGAATGATGAGGCAGGATTAGGCCCAACTGGTGCCCTCCCACTAGCTGCTGTATTGACATACACTTCTGTTCATCATCTGTGCCCATTTCAGGAATGGCTGAGAGTTTGAACAGGTGGCAGTAAGCTCCGCACCACCACCACCATGTGCCCAATGCAGCTAGTCGCCTGAATGAAGGCAACTCCTGGGACATGTGATGTGTGAGGAATGGGGGGAAGACCCAGGGAAGTCAGCTGCTTCGTATTCGGGTTTGTGGGATGTCATGGGCTTGGCAGGAAGAATGAGGCCTGAACTGGTATCCTGCAGAGAAATACATATCCATCTGTCGCCTCCTTGCCCTCTGTCTTCCCAATGCTAAGCCCATCTGGTCTTCCTTGCATGCTTTCTATGCTCTGATGATAAGTCAAATCCTTCAAGTGAACCCGACATTGGAAACAAATCAGTTTAATTAAAGTCTCTCTGCTGAGATAATGTAGTGACTGCTAGGATTCCAGCTATTTAACTAGAATCTAAGTAGTCAAGAGTTCCTCCTTCTCTTTCCCTCACTAGCTGAGAGATTCACAGCTCTGTGGGGTGGAACTGTGCTATAGGGCCATTCAATTACTCCTAGACTAGATGCTGGTAATTAGACTGGGAATCATTTCTATACAAGGAATCCTGGGGTGGCTGTGCTGCTGTGTAGTGAGAGCTGCCTCTTGAGAGATCCACGCAGTGATTCAGAAGGCCACCAGCAGGGCTGTCTCTGAATCTCAGAAATGAATAGGTTCCAGCTAACAAATGATCAGCTCTCCTACACGTAGGGACAGCACGCGGAAAACGAGAAGACGAGTTCTTCCAGAGCCCAGGATGTAGGAAGGAGCCAAGACTGGAGAGGGGCCCCTTTATTCCTTCCCGTTGGTCTGTCCCTCAGAAGACACCTGTGGAGACACTGTGCACTACAGGCATGCACGCATGGGAGGCCAGGGAGGTTCCCCCTCGACAACACACACAAGAGCCCTGTGTGTGCACAAATACCTCCTGTTAACCTGAAAGAAACCGCTACTGAGAGAAAGACTAAGTCTTCAAAAGAATTTGCTTTTCCCAACAACTCGGCACTGTGGAGCCTGCCTTTCAAGGCTTGATGACCTCTGGTCCTCTGGTAAAAGGCTAATGTGTCCATTGCCAATGAAATACAGTAATAGCAGCTTAAAATCCACAATTAGTCACACAACCGAACAACAGGCAATGGGATACAGGTTACACTGCACAGGAAGGAGACCTACATTGCAGAAGGGGACGCTGTGAGATAGATTCAAGGCGGAACACAAGGTAACAGTTGGATCTGGCTTCAGAAAAGGAGGCCACATCTTAACGTTCTCATTTTACTCAAACAGGAGAGTGGTTTGTTTTGCTGGTAATTTAGTAAGGTGGGAAGTCTTAAATAAGAAGGGGAAAGAGAACGTTTACTTCACTTAAAGAACTTAATCTCCGTGTCAACACAGTCATAGAAAAGGTCCCCCACTTCGGCAGGGTCCAGGGGCTCAGAGCTGGTCAGGATTTCCTCCATGGCTTCCAGGCCTTGCTTCTCCAGCTCCAGCATGGTGCTCCTCAGCTTGCGACCTTGCTCCTGAGGAAGGACACCACCGCTTTAGGTGTCAGCAAAATAGCAGGGGGCGCTGCAGTGGACACTGAAAGCCTCCAGGGAGCAGCTGGCCTCGTGCTCAAGGCCCAGCCTCCCCACACTCTGTTTCTCACATGAATGCCGCAGGGATTGTTCTAGAATGCCAGTGTGGTTATGCCACTGCCCCGCTTAGAACACCTGCACAGCTCCCTGCTGCCTTCAGGACAAAGTCCAGACCCCAGAGTGACACTGAGGGAAGGCCCTTCTGACATCCAAGACCGCTTGCCCTGCATTCTCCATACTCCTGCATCTCCATACTCCTCAGCTGGACTGAATTAGCTGCTGCCCTCCAGCCTCTGATGCCGTCTCACCCCTGCACAGGTGACCCTGCCCTCTAGAGGGCCATCCCTTCCTCAGCACTTGCTTGATGTGCACCCATCTTCAGCCTCCTTGCAAAGCCCTTTCCTCTTCCCCGCACAGTGCCACACCATTCCCCCTGCCGTGGGTGCTGTCCCCCGCCTTGTGCTGGCTTGCCTCTGTGCCTGTGGCCCCTTAGACGGGAACTGGGGTCAGTCAGTTCTATCCTCCAGTGACTCAGAGGGCACTCAAGAAATGGTCATTGAATGAAAAAAAAAAATGAATCAATGAATCAACAGTTGCCATGTCTCTCCTCTGTGCACTCTTTTTCTGAGATGGTGAGTTCACTTCTTCCATGAGACTCACTCATTTATGGTAGATGACAGCGAAAGCTTTCATTTGCCCCACCCGTCCCAGCACGGAGAAGCTGCTCTCACCACCCGCCCACCCCTGCTTCATGCAGCGTCATGGGACTTGATGTGAGAGTCATTTCTAGATTTCAAAACCCACCAGCCTCAGCAGCCTCATCTCTGAACACGCAGCCCTTTCTACCTCTTCATCCTAATTAACGAAATATCTACAACACCATACACCAGGCAGTGACAGCTCTCATCTACTTGGGGCTTACGGTCCCAAGTGGGGACAGCCCTGGAGAAAACACAGTGTAATGCAGCAGCAGCATTCATGCTTGCAGTTTTCTGGCAGCATTTTTTTTCACGCTGGCAGGGAGAAGAGATGTAAGATAACTGTGCCCTTTACATGTCAAATGGTCACTTCTGTGGAAGAGAAGGGCAAGCTCTTCGACAAGTGAGACAGCCCTTCTCAGAGATGCTTTCTGAATTCACTTGGGTTTATTGCTTGGGTTTCCCTCTTAATATCCTTTCTATATACTCCACCATGTCATATGCAAGAGGCTCACACAGTCAACAGCACCAATTTATACAAAAGGTCTCCCTTTCCTTCAGGCCAACTTGGACTTATTAAAAGTGGTTATATAAATGCGTGGGGAAGCCAATGAGTGTCTAACAAGCATGTTCTTTCTTCCTCTCTTCAGCAAAATATAGGATTGAATTTTATATAAAGTCCATCAGTAGTGGCTGCTGTGGGCACACTGGGCCAAAGGTGTGGAGTTGGGGAGAGCTGCACTTTGAAGGATTATGGTTTCTTTTTTAAAACTAGGACTATGAGGAATATGATGCTTGCAATCCCAGCACTTTGGGAGGCTGAGGCAGGCAGATCACTAGAGCTCAGGAGTTTAAGACCAGCCTGGCCAACGTGGTAAAACCCTGTCTCTACTAAAAATACTAAAAAAATAAAAAAATAAAAAGCCTAGTTATATGAGAATCTTTTCTAAAACTATGTTTGTACTATGGTAAAACATATGTATTGTAAGATAAAATTTACCATTTAAAAACTTTAAAATGTATAGTGCAGTGCATTAAGCTCATTCACAATGTTATGGAACTGGCCATCTCCAGAACTTTTGTGATTAATTATTTTTTTGAAACAACATATGATTGTATCTTTAAATAAAATGTTGCCAGCAAATACAACTTTTTGCCCCCAAAAGTACATAAAGAATTTTACACAGCAGATAATAGTTATCCCTACCATACTGCAAATTCCTATTATTCCTGCATTAACAGTAAACTTAAGTAAGAAACTCAGTCTGCTAAGTTCCAGAATAGCATGAGAAGGAGACGCTTTGTTTTATTTTGTTTCAAGAGACATGGCAGGAAAATTAACACCAACCTTCAAGGAAGGGTCAGGAACCTGGCCTCCAGAAGGAGCCCGACCACACTGCAGAGGAGGGGAGGGTCTAGCTTGTCATTTGCTCCCCTGTCTCCTTCCTTGCAGTCCTCGCCCACTTCCGGGACCCTATGCAAGCTCACCTGGTCACTTTCGATGATGGCGCGTGCCCACTCATGGGCTTTGTACAGCTCATGCCGGCGGTCTGGTTTCTCCTGGAACCGAGGCTCCTTTTTGGCAGGGTCATCGTCCCCAAAACAGGGAGACTGTGTTTTGGGGACAAGCTTTACGTCATCAACAAAGATGAAAGGCTTGAATATGGACCTGGAGAGAAAGGAGAGGCACTTCAGCCAGGCGAAGTTGGGGCGTGGGGGCACCCAGAGACTGTCCTTTTATTCGGCAAATGTTTCTCAAGCCATCTTATGGTGGGTGGTGGTTGGTCAGTGTGGGTGATAGGTGGGTGGGTGCCAAGAGACACACAACTGCATGTTTTAGTAGCTATTTCAGCAAAACTAGCAGCCATTTACAAGCTGCAAATTCCTCGATTTACAGTAAAGAGACATCAAAACAGACTTTCTTTGTTTTGAACCATTTGAGAGGACTCTTTTAGCAATAAAAAGTGAGGCGAACAGGCAGTGTTCTGAGAAAGGGTGCAAGGAGCCATCTATCTGAGCGGAGAGAAGTTTGCCTTCTTTCTCTACTGTGGTCTGAGAAGCAGCCTCCAGGAAAGAAAGGGCCTTTTGGTTGGGTTTGATTTTAGTTTTTTCTGAAGTTCTATCTTACTGAAAAATCTTTGGACTATCTCTGACAGACCCAAGGAGGGGACAGAGTAAGAAAGACAGCAAAAGAGACCCTGGAAGGTGCATGCCACACGGAAGTCTGGTTGTGTGAGGGAGCTGGCACAGGGCACAGCATTAATAATGGCCCCCCGCTCTCTTTGATTCAGTTCTCTCAGCAGCATGGCTGTTACCTTTGGGAAATGGCTGTACACATGCCTGCATGTGTGTGTGCTTATGCATGTCTAGGACACATCACATCACACACACACACACACACACACACACACGCATATACACACACACAACGGCCACACATATAAACTTCTGTGGCCTGGGATCCCAGACCAGGCCAACAGGGTGAGGGCCAACCACACCAACTATAACACTGGGGAGGCAGCCTTATCCTCCCCTCCCCACACCCAGAGGAAACACTGCTGGATTAGACGGCTGCTCCTGGCAGGCATGGGCACCTCTGGGTCCCAACAATGGCCTGTTTTCAGCCATACCATGAGGCAGCACCTGCAATCACAGTAGAAGAGAAGGAACTCCCCACACGTGCCCCATGTGTATAGGTCAGATTTGTCAGATTTGGACTTTTCTCCTCTCAACAGGTACACTGTGGCCAACCCTGGGTACCTCAAGTGGGTTAGAGGTGAGCTCGGATGTTGATTCCCTCAGCCCTGGGCACCTGGGGCTTAAGGAAGCCAGGGCAGCCTTGCCAATGTGCCACACAGGTATTAATATTTTAACGTATGGACTGGGTGCAGTGGCTCATGCCTATAATCCCAGCACTTTGGGAGGCCGAGGCAGGTGGATCACTTGAGGTCAGGAGTTCGAGACCAGCCTGACCAACATGGTAAAACCCCATTTCTACTAAAAATACAGAAAAAGTAGCTGGATGTGGTGGCATGCTCCTGTAATCCCAGCTACTCAGGAGGCTGAAGTGGGAGAATTGCTGAAACCCAGGAGGCAGAGGTTGCAGTAAGCAGAGATCATGCCATTGCACTCCAGCCTGAGTGACAGAGTGAGACTTCATCTCAAAAACAAAAATTCAGGTATGCCATGACCTGAAAATAACAACAACAAAAAAAATTCAGATATGCCATGACCTGAAAAGGACTGGGAGCCAATAACCCCTGCTACTCAATTTCGTCCTTGGACTTGCAGCATCAGTATCAGCTGCAGAACCTCAGGCCCCATCCTGTCCTGCTGAATCACAATCTGCATGTTTAACAAGATCCCTGGGGATTCATAACATAGCCAAGTCTGAAAAGCACTACTACAGACACAGCAGTAATGAGAAACACCCTCTTATGTTAGCTTCCTGATGTTGCCATGGGACAGGAGTCTCAAGTGAGAAAAGACAAACACTGATCACAATATGCAAAATTGGGGGCCAGGCGAATTTAATTTGCGTATTAAAAGCAGTGAGAACTTCATACGCCAAGCTGGTGAACTGAGTGGTACTAGTTGAGGACTCGTGTCAGGTACTCTGCTGTTCTCTACAGGTGATGCAAATATAATTGGAGACAGGGCCCATCCCAATCTACTGGGAAGCACGAGGCATGCCAGGCTGCACTCACCTGATCAAAATCAAGCCTGGCCAAGAACCTTCCCTCCGCAGCCAGCATCAAAGGAAGTCCCCCTGCAAAGACGTAGGGGAGCTACCCTTGTATCAAAGGAACACACACTTCTACTTCCTACAGCCCCTTAAAAATAGATGATTGCTCTCTACTGAGTGTTGAATGAATGGCTGTTAAATATGAAAAAGGAATTATTGCAAAACCTAAAACTGTTTAAACCAATTTTGACTACATGAAGTTGAATTCTCTAATTGGTGAGTCAGTTGATTCTGCAAAAGGGCTGCAGATGGAGGGCTCACTGAAAGAGGGCAATGAAGCAGTGGGGAGGAGGAGGGCCAGGAGAGCTCCTGCCTAGCCATCCACAACCAGCTGCCTCCGGGCTACCTCTGGGCTCTGAGAGAACGACTGGCTCACCTCCTACCCTTCAGGACCAGACAGCACTTGGGGTTTCCTGGGAAGTCAGTGCACATCACATCAGCAGCATCAGCCTCTTTGGCTGGCACTTAGAGACCCTTCAGTGGCAGACAGGCCCAGGGCTCCTACCCCGCAGCCCAGAATCAGCTCGGTTCACATCTTCTCAGCTCCAGTGCTCTGCACTGGGCAGCACTGGGCAGAGCCAAGACTCCCACCTGGGCTGCTAGGCTTCACGGTGGGACTGGTGCAGGCTCAACACCTATCAGCCAAGGGAACTGCAACTGCACCCTCCGGCGGAGGCCGCTGAGCAGGCCCCAAGCAATGCTACTTCGTTTAATCCCCACGTCACTCCAAACCCAAATGGGAGTGGTATCTTCACCAGGAAACCCTCCCATTTCACTCCTAAAACCTCAGTGCTTCCCTTTGGGCACATCTCAGGACTCTTCTGACACAGGATCCCTTGGGAGAGCCATGCCAAGAGGAAAGGGGACAGCCTGGCAGCACTGCTGGACTGAGCTACCTCCTGCAGAGCGGGGCAGGGAACTGGGCTGGGACTTGGAATGGGGGTGTGAGTCCCTGCTCTGCCTCTGACTCACTGTGGGCCCATCGTTTTCCCTGTCTAGCTCTCATCTAACTACAGTGATCTCAACAGTCCCTTCCAGCTTCTATTACTAGTTTATTTCTATTTCTATGTCAAGAAGCTTATAAACTTGTGACGCCAGCTTCAGTAAGCTCACGCTAACCACAGTCAGAGTCTTCTGTATCCAGTATAGGATAACTGCATAGTAAAAACTCAGAATGTTCTACGTGATGTGACTTTAAACCCACCCCAAGCTCACTGGAATGGTAATCAGTGAGGGTGTCTGTTGGTTTTTCTAAGAGAACAGACACTGTAAATTTGTCCCTCTCTTCCATCCATTTTAGTTTTAAAAGAATACATCATAAATATGAGGAGATTCCCAAAATATTTTAAAGCACTCAAAGCTCTCCAAAGATGTTTTCAAAGTTTAGTATACTCAACTAATAAAAAATAAAAGCCTAAATATATTGAGGTGGTAAAATGAAGCTTTTTTGAGACTGAATAAATTATATAAATAAATATGGTTATCTTAAAAATAATTACATAAAATATTAACATAAATTATTGCTAATAATTGCAATAATATTAATTAATGTTTGTTTAAACCAGGATGTGGAAATGATCTATAATTGAGGTTTCATCATTTGTGTCTATGTACCCAGAAGAGGGGGCTGGGGGTGACTCAGTGGTTCCCAAATGTTTTGATTTCTTGCCAATCCTTATGGAAAATCACATTTAGAATTCCAAATACATAAGGAGATACTCTGACATTTTCCCACAGGTGAGTCACAGATGGTAGCTTCTTAAATGCTATTTGAATGTATATAAGCCCATTAACAGATACACTCAACTGTCTCCACCACGTAAAATTAGCAGACATACTCAACTGTGTCCAGCCCACCTGACCAGGATGGGGCCCACTTCATCTTGTGCATGGGGTGCCCCAGAGTGTCCCGTGGATGGCTTGGATGTGAAACACAGCTCAAAAGGCTGCAGAAAGCTGATTTTGCCTCTATCCTCAGGGCTGACTCTCAGACTGACCTTCAGAAAAGTCACCAAACCCTGGGTTGGGAATTTGCCCCCGTCACTCAGCCTTCTGTGGTGTGGTGCAACAGTAATACAAGATGATGGGGCCAAAAGGACAAAGTGCTTCCAACGGCAAGGCACAGCCCAGCAGCCAGTTTGTGAGGAGGTTCAAAGCTGGCTGAGCTACTTTAAAGGGCCCTTGTGAGGGACAGCTAAACCAATGAGACCATGAGCAACACTAAAGGAAGCCGCCCTCCAGCCTTCAGCTCCCGCGGAAACAAATCTAAGGGCTGAGACACACAGTCCCATGACACGATGCACAGCGTGGGCATCCAAGCTCCGTCGCAGAGATCTGCAGAATTTTAGCCTTGAGTGACAATTTGAGGCACAGCCAAGAAACATACTCCACTGGACACACCACTGCCTCATCTGTCCATTTTTCCCTCTAAAGCCTTGTGAGGGATGCAGCATGCCAATGCAAAACACTGTTTTCCAATCATTTGTTCTCCCTTTTTGGAAGAACAGCAATATTATCATGAAAATCTCTAACATTTTATAGCACAGCATAATTCTCAAAGCATCTGCATTCAATTCTCATGGTACTCTTATTCATTCATTCATTCAGCAAACATGTGTTGAGGCCTGGCCGAGTGCCAGATAACCCAGGTACTAGGTATACAGTAGTGAACAAGGCAGGGCAAACATTTCTGTCCCATTTTACATATGAGATGACTGAGGCTCACAGAAGCTAAGTGCTTTGTCCAAAATCACACTCCTCATAAGTGGCATATCTAGAAGTAAATTCAGATCTAAATGCAAGGTCAGTTTTCCCCACTACCTCTCACTCTTAGATTCTTCTGTTAGGTTTTTCATACACCTCGTACTACTGCAGAAAAATAAATATTTCTTGTGCTATAGGATTTAGAATTTAATGTCCGTGGC